TCCCCGGAAACACGGTCAACACATTCCCTACAACGCCCCAGGCTCTCTGCAGATCAGGATCTTAGTAAGTCACCACAACACTTCACACCGTTCAGTGCCGCCCCATCATCCAGCCCGCGACGGTTCTCACACCTCCGTGGGCATCAGCTCATGGAGTTTGCAGAACGTAGATTCCCGGTCCCTCCCCCAGATTCTGATTCTGTAAAGGTAACCTGGAATCCAGGAATCTTCTTTTCTTTTTTTTTTTTCAAGCACCCCAGGGAATTCAAGTGGTTTATGGGAAACGCAGGTGTAGAGAATGAAGTCTCTGCTCCTTATCAAGGAAACAGAATCTTTTCTCTGCTATCTGACTTCATTGAACGCTCCAGGTAATGGAATCATTTACAGTTCCTAGAACTACACAGTTTCTCATGGTCTTTTCCTTCATCTAAACCTCCTCATTCCCCCTCTTATCTGACAGACTCCTCTTCCAAAGCCAGTTCAGGTTTAGATGTCACCTCTGGGAAGCTTCCTTAACTCCCGGCTGCCTGCCAGCCTCCTCCCACCCAACCCAGCTTCCGGGCCTCGACTCACACTGCATGCATGACGTTTTGTACATCTGTCCCCTTCTGGACTGCAGCCTCCTCTAGGTGAGAGTCAGAATCTCATCCCTCTCTTCCCACCACGACCTGGCCAAGTGTCAGGCACACAGTAGGTGTTCAAACAGCAGAGTCACATCTAAACTACAGGGCGAATAATAGATGGGGAAGGTGAAAACCTGGGTCAAAATCACCCCCAGAAAATTCTTTTTTTCACCCTGAAAGTGATGATTCATGTTCAGGAATATACAAAATTAACACACATTATTTAGGGTTGTTGAATGAATCCTAATACATGTTTTAGGAAAAACTCAGTAGCTTTAAGCATGAAATCAGGGCCTCAAGCTCAGTATGTGAGACTAGTTGAGGGAACAGCAGAACCACAGTTGCCCGCTCACGTACTTGGAATTGAATGAATTCTGACTTACATGTGATAGGTTTCCACACATGCAGAGAGGGACTGTTCCAACCACGAATGTTCTATTATCATGCACCTAACAGCCTGACTGTACAGAGAAGCTTAGAGTCCTAAAACAAATGTGTAGCCATAAAAGACAGTTGAACTCTTTTAATTGCTAATATAAACTCATTTGTAGCCCACAGTATAGATTTTTGAAAACACAAGTTCTCAGAAGGCGAGCACTGTTTGTCTGACACCGCCTAGCCTAGCACAGTTCCATGCATGGGAACATAGGTGATAACTGCCTTCGAGCTTGGGGCTTTGTTGCCTGGTCTGTGTGTCCCTGGGCCTCAAAACTGGGACTTGACAGCGGTGAGCAGGAAGTTAAATCATGCAGTAAGTCGTGACTTGATCCTACTCAAATGGGCAAAGTCCTTACGCAAGGAATTCTTATGGGTATTATTGAGGATTATAAATGAATAAAGACTTCAACTTTGACCTCAAGTAATTTATAATCTTATCAGAAAATAAGACCTAGGCATAAATAATAATATTCACTGTGGATTCTAAAAGAGAAGGGGGTAGTTGAGGGAAGGATAAAATTGGGGAGAGGATTCAGGGATGAAGGTGTGAAAGCACAGAGGGCATTCTAGAAGCAGGGGTTCCAACACTGATCTGTCCAGCTCCCCTTCAGCCAGTGCCCCCACCACCTTCCACCCCTCTGACCTCTGCTGCCCCTGCATCTTCTCATGGGATGCGTCCCCCCACCACCCTGACACATCAATCGTGTTCACTCCGTTTCACCTGGCCTCTCTGACTTTCACATTGGTCCCTCTGCCCAGGATGCCATTTCTACCTGTCGACTTGGATGGCTTGTATTCATCATTCACGTCTGGTTTCAATTCCTTTTCCCAACCCATGGTATTAGTTAGTAGATCATACATCTGTCACTCCAAACTCTAAGTCCCTGGAGGGAGGACACCTCATTTCTTTCATCTCTGTATTCCTCACCTCTTAGCATAATGCCTGCCCTGTAGTATGCACTCTAGAAATGTTTTATGAGCTATATTATTGCACAGTGGTGGTGTCTTTTGGTTAGACTCTGGATTAGAACATAAAGCTAAAGAGGAATGAGTCAGTAAGCTCTATCTCCCTTTCTGCCCTTCCACACCTGGTATTCAGCATCTATGACAAGCTGAACTGTATCTCCATGAAATTTCTAAGCTGAAGTCCAGTCCCAACCCCCAGCACCTCTGAATGTGACTGTACTTGGAGTTAAGGTCTTTAAGAGGTGATTAACTTCAATGGGGCCGTTAGGATGAGGCCCTAATCCAATATGACTCGTGTCCTTCCAAGAAGAAGAAGAAGAAACACCAGAGGTGCATGTGCACAGAGGGACGACCGTGGAAGGAAAAGGCAGCAAGAAGGCAGCTGTCTACAAGCCGAGGAGAGGCCTCAGAGGAAACCAACCCTGCCACCTCCTCGATCTTGGACTTTCAGCCTCCTTGTTTAAGCCACTCAGTCTGTGATATTTCGTTACTTCTGCCCTAGAAAACTAAGACCTGATCTTTACTCCACGAATAAACTCAGACACAGTGCTGTAGGCCAGGTGCTGTTCTAAGCTCCTTACAAATGTGTAGATATGTGAATCACTGTGACTGCAGTTCTCAATGGGTAAGAGAGGAGACGAGTGGGACCCCTTCCCCCGAGGGTGGGAGCCGAGCCTTCAGAATCAGTATAGTTTGGGGAAAGAACGCCCCTAAGGGATATAACTGTCTCCTCAGGAGAAAATCAGGTGCAAGGATGATGACTGATAATAATAACAACAGAAAAATAATAGCCACCGTTAACTGAGCACTTACCGTACACAGGCCAGTGCCAGCCATGGTATAAGAACTCTTTCTCATGTCCTCCCACGGCAACCTTAAGAATTAGGTAATACACATTGTAAACTGACTATACTTCAATTTTAAAAAAAAGAATTATGTCCTATTTCATTCCCTATGTTTTACAGAGGAGGAAAGCGGGCTAAGAAAGGGCAAGCCAGTTGCCGGCTGGCGAGGAGAATCAGGACCAGACCCAGATCCACGCCTTTCTCCACTGGGCTGCCTGCCTGGGGATGTGGCCTGGGGTCACCTGGCTGGAGGAGGGGGTTCTGAATTTGAGACTGAGTTTGTTCTTAATGCAGATGGATGGGGAACAGCAAGGTATGTTTATTTTTGGAAGAAAAAGGAGGAGGGGACATCTAACAGCCTTAATTGCACGTGCAAAAACAATCCTTCTTGAGTATTTAGCTTCTCCTACAGGCCAGGCATTAAGCTGGGAACTTAAAACAGTTCTGAGAAGCAGATATTTTTCTTATATATATGTATTTTTTCTTCTTTTTTGGGGAGGGTGGTAATTAGGTTTGTTTACTTATTTAATTTTTTTTAGTGGAGGTACTGGGGATTGAACCCAGGATCTCATGCATGCTTAGCACACGCTCTACCACTAAGCTATACTTTCTCTCCTGTATTTTCTTTTTCCAGACAGGGAAACTGAAGCGCAGGGAAGCTGAGAGATGTGCCCAAGTTGTCAGTAAGCAGCAGAACCGGAGTGGCAGGCTGGGGAGGCTCCCAGTCCTGCACCCTCCGGGCGCCCACCCACTCTGCTTGGGCGGATGTCTCCACAGCTTCTGCATTCACACCCAGCACAAGCAGCCAGTGAGTGGACTAGGGCCTCCACACTCTGAACCGATAGCTTGTCCTATCACAATCCTTACCAAGATTCAGCCCAAAGAATAATAAATAACATAGAATAATAAACAATAAATAGAGCAGCTTTTGCCCAAGAATGTTCTAAGGAGCCTTATTTTCGCAAGACGTTTCATGGGAAAAGTTCAATGGTCAGCAAAGTTGGGAAGTGCTGCCTCTTATCACACCTCCCCTGCCATGGCGACTTACAGTGCACAGCAGCAGCTTCCAAAGGTACTGTAGGAAAAACAAAAACAAAAAAACCCTACTTCCTTCACATTAAGCTAAGCTTTCCCCAATCTATTTGAATCACAGAATTGTTTCTCCACATGTTCGTTAACAGACCCTGCAGCACCCTTTCAGAGATACTGCAATGTAGGATAAAGAGGCAGAAAGAGAAGCAGGTTGGATACAGGCACGAAAATGCAGACTTTTTTCTTAAGAGCTATCAAATTGTTTGTTCCTTAAATTCATTTGCTTTCTATTGAGAAAATACACAGATTAAAGAAATCAGAGCCAACACATTTGACAAGGGAAGGGCTATTTGCATCCCCAAATCTCTTGGCTCATCCTAAGCCTTCTTGCTCCCACCCAACCTCATTCCATTCTCCTGGTTTTCATACACCCTCCCCTCTTTGGGCAGCTCTCCGAATTGGACATGATCACAACCTGCAACGCACCATGTCCCTCACCCCCAGTGCAGAAGCGGTGACAGGGAGGCATCAGACCCTCTGCCCACAGTTACAGCCCGAGCTGGCAGATTCGAGACAAACACATGAAGTTATCTGATATAATGATTTTGCTGCCTTTGGGTTTTGGCAGGAGTTCTCTAAAAACATTCCCGTGGGGAGATGGGGGGGGTGGAGATTGCTAAGATTTCCTTTAAAATTTCCAGATTATGACTGCTGTGATTTTTCTCTTTTTTGCTTATTTTCAGTTTCTAATCTACGATAATGAAAACGCAGAGCTTGTGTTTTAAGGAGGAGGAGGAGGGGAGAGAAAATGGGAGAGGAGAGAGGGGAGAAGGGAGGGAGAGGAAGTAGACAGGGAGGAGTGGGGGAGAGAGCAGGGGAGGATGCCGGAGGAGGGAGGAGGAAGGGGGAGAAGGGGAGGCAGGAGGAGGGGAAAATAAATCCTGAAAATCTGCGGAGAAGGAGACTGCATGAGCTCACCCGATAGAACACTTAAGCCGAAGTGGCGAGCTGCAAAGCTGCTACTTGCAGCACCTTCCCGTCACCCCTTAGCCAGAGCAAAGCTCGGCGTTCAGCCGCAGCGCCGCCCGCTCCTTACCCACTCGGAAGATCAGGTCGTCTTCGATGGGATTCTCTTTTCGCTTTCCGGTGCTGTACATGCTGGCGGGTCTCTTCACTGCCTTCTGCTTCACATGGCCGCTGCCCGGGGACTTCACGCGCCTCTTCACGCCCTCGGTGGTGGGGGACACGTCGGCCGATCGGATCACCTTCAGCTTAAACGGGCTGCCTCGGATGTGCTGGTCGTAGAGCCGCAGGGACAGGGTGAAGTCGCCTTCCTTCTGCACGGTGTACAGGAACTCGTAGGTGCCGTTCTTGTTGTCCAGGATCTCGCCGTCCGCCACGCTGCCGTCGGGCGTGCTCAGTTCCGCCGTGAGGTAGGCGTTGCCGGTCTTACACAGCTCCCCGTCTTTGTCCTTGGTCGTTATGGTAACGGACATGGGCTGCCCGATTATGGTCTGCCGCAGCCCCTCGCCCGTGGCCACCGTCTCGGAGGCGACGGCGTTGGTGGTTAAAATCGTCCCGAGGTTGTGGATGGACTTCTTGAGCCCCTCGGTCTCCACGATGAAGTCCAGCTGGTCGTTTTCTCGCGGGTGCAGCGGGAAGTCCTGGTCCGCCAGCTCGTTCAGCTTCTCGCTCATCTGCTTCTTCACCAGCAGCACCTCCGTCTCCGTGCCATGGTTGAGGGCCTGGGCCGTGAAGTTGCTGCAGCTCTTGATGCTCTCCTGCCCCTCGAGCAGAGTGTCCAGCTGAGACTGGAGGACCTGCGGGGAAAACCGGAGAAAACCCGGGCTAGGTGCGCGCTTCCCAGCGCGCACGCTCCGCACCTGCCCGCGCAGATGGCTCCTGGCAAGCGGTGTTCGGTTTAACCCAGTGAACCTCGTCCTAAAGCATAATCCAAAATCGCCTTCCCAGTCCTTTCTCTTTCCCTTTTCCTCCCCCTCCCCCGTCTCTCCCACACACATATTTCTTGGGTCATGTGTCTTTGACAGGGACAAGCAGAAACGTTACCACCAAGAGCTTGGCAAACAGATCGCTATGCCTGACATCTGAAATATGCATTATTCAGTATCTTTCCCTAATGTCCAAAGCTCCCCTGTCACCACTAAAGGAACAGAAACCAAACAAATGAAAACTCCACACCTGACTATCAGAAGCTTTCATCCCTGGTTTTGTGATTGGACATGGTAAAGTCTGCAGTCAGTGTTCACTTTGAAGTTGACTAATAGGTTGGTGTGGGTGACAGAGTAATTAAGAGACTACTAGATATTATCATTAAGGAAGGAAAACAATCCAGTTTAACCCTAAATCCTGAAAGCACTGCTTTATATTCAACCTTGCATTGTGCCACATTATAAAGTGGTACTTAAGGCCACAGAATCATAGTTTTGCTGAAAACAGGAAGGAAAAAAATAGCTGGATATGCCATTGAGTGAAAACTACTATTTAGTGAACAACAGTGACACTTAAGGAGCCATCTGAGTCCCCTTGGCTGCTAGAAGAACACAGTAAGCTGGCACCAGGGAGGCCCCAGATACCGCGTCTCTTACAGGATGTCTGTAAGAACGGCTAGGGTCTTACTTTGTGTTTGAGGCCATAGTTGACTTCCAGCTCCATCAGCAGCACACTCTTGCGCACGTTTAATGTCTTCTGGAGTTCATCAAAAGTAGAATGGATGTCATCCACAATGCTGGCCTTCTGGTTTGTTAACTGATGAATGATTTCCGAGATGAACTGAAGAGCAGAATCTATTTCTGGGAGCCTGGAGGACAGTTGTCAAAGGTCACTATCATAGTAACATCAAGACAGAAATAGTAACAAACAAAAAACAAAATACATACACACAAACTATTCAAACACTATATTTTTCAAGAAACATTTTTTGTGCCTTTCGGCATCTTAAAGAAGTAATCCCTAAAGAACAGAATGAATAAGACATGACACAATTATTGCCTCTGAGAAGAGAGATTTTGAAGGTCTTTGTCTACTTCAATCTACCTCAAACGTTTAATTTTAATAATTGATAGCACAAAGCCTTAAAGCTCTCAGAACCCTACAGCTCTGCCTCACACTCTAATCAGGCATTCTGTAACTTGACACTATTGATATTTGGGGCCAGAGAACTCTGCTGCAGGAGACTGCCTGTACATTATGATTTTAACAGCATCCTTTCCTCTTCCCCTCCTCCCCCCTCAACAGTTGTGACACCAAATTGTCTCCAGGCATTGCGAATGTCCTCTGGGGGGTGTATAATCACCCATGGCTGAGAACAACTGTTCTAAATATATAGCTGTATCTTTTTTCCCCAATCACATGAAAAACTTATCCAAACTTAACGAGTTTCCAGGGAACTTCCTGCAAGTTTCCAAGTTCTTTTAATGAGTGCAGAATAACCACACTTTTCTCACTTCAGCTATTGGCGAAGAGATCTATTTTCAGCTGGCTGTTTATTTCCTCTCTTTGGTCTTTCTCATGCATCACACAGCTACTCTGTTCCTTCATTTCCATGCCAAATAAAGAGCCTGGAAGCAGGGAAGCAGAAGGAAAACCGAGCGTTTGCTGCTCAGGAGTAGTTTGCTGGGCTCCAACAGAGAGGAGCCAGTCATAGTCAGCACAATGGGCCTTTAAGTATTTCAAGAACAGTAGCTAAGAAGGCCCTTCAGACCACCTGGTTTCAGGCACAAATTTCAGAGATCTCTTGAAAGCATTTTCCTTGTGTGTATATTTGAATAAATGAATGAAAATCATTTAATCATTACTAAGGTACTAAAAGGAAAGCCACCACTCGTAACAAAAGGGGGTTAGAATTTTACCATGGGGCAGGGGAGGACCTTCATCACTCACTAATTTATGAAGACAGACCTACGATCAAAGGAGAATTTATTTAGGCGACATGAACCTACTGTCTCCCTGGGACATGAGACCCTGAGGCCACCGGCGGCCAGCTGGGAGCCTGGGGGAGGTGTGCACACCTTTTGTTGACAGCATCCAGCTGGACCTGGAGTGAGGCCTTGTGCTGCTCCACCACGTCCTTGAGGGGGACTGTGGGGTGTTCCGCGTGCTCCCCCTCTGTGCACTCGCGACACATGGCAGTCTCGCAAGACTGGCAGTAAAAGTCCATCACCTGCAGGGAACACAAGAACAATTCTAGGTTCAGTGCCACTGACTGAGTGCTTACTATGCACAAGGGCTTCACCTACATTCTCTCATTAAAAAACAATTTTTTTTAAGGGGAGGGTACAGCTTAGAGGTAGAGTGCATGCTTAGCATGCACAAGGTCCTGGGTTCAACACCAGTTCCTCTATTAAAAAAATTAATTAAAAAAATAAACTTAATTACCTCCTCCTCCCCCTAAAAAAAAAATTTTTTTTCCCCCTTAACAGAGGCACTGGAGACTGAACCCAGGACCTCGTGCACGCCAAGCACTTGCTCCAACCTTGAACTATATCTTCCACCCCATTCTCTCATTTAATTCTCACAGCCTCCCCAGGATGTAGGCAATATTATATCCAGTTTCACAGAAGAAAAGGAAAGATAAATTTTTAAGTGTCAGTTCTCAAACAGAGACAGATTGGACTTCAAATAACCCTTTAAAAATTATTGAGGACTCCAAATGCTTTTTGTTTATATAACAAAAAGGTATTTATCATATTAAAAATGGAAACTGAGAAACTTTCAAAATATTTATTAATGTATTACAAGCAAAAACAAGCCCATTAAATGTGAACATGAATAGTATAATTTCTGAAAAATATATTTTGCAAAATGAAAAAAAGTGTGTGAGGAGAATGGCATTGTTTTCCATATCTGTCAACCTCTTCAGTGTCTGGCTGAACAAAAGGCAGCTGATTCTCATATCTGCTTCTGCGTTCAATCTGTTTTGACAGCACACATACAGTCTCTGGAAAATGCCACTGTACACTCCTGAGAGATTGAGGGTAAAAAAAGGCAAATAATGTTTTAGTATTATTATAAATATAGTTTTGACCTTGT